CCACAAGCTTCAGAACCTGTTGTCTCAGGTCCCTAACTCACACACTGTCCTGGTCAGTATGTTCCTCTTCATAATGGCAAATTATCAAGGTCCACTTATAAAAGCCTCTTGTCTCACCTCTTAGTGAAGCTGTCTATACACAGCTTTCTAAGACTGTTCAACAGCACATCTTTTCACTGAAAGTAGGGGCTATCTCAAGCATCACCACGCTTCAGGGTACCAAGAGGAGTGAAAAAGTGTTTTTAGTGTCTAATGAGAGCTTACAAAACTGAGACTGTGGACACCAAACTTTGTTAAATTGTCTGTCCCTGCTAAGATTTTGGTTCCTTTAGATCTGCTACTTCTTTTCAGGTGGGCTGCTATTAGATCTTCCCTTAGCAATGCCCTAGACTAAACAAGCCCAACTCTCTCAGTCTCTCCTTTGTGGTCACATGCTTTCATCCCTAGTAGTCTTCATGACCTTCTGCTTATCTCTCTTCAGTTCCTCCACACCCCTGGGAGACCCCCAAGACTGTCCCAAGCAGAATGAGAGAATAACTCCTCATCCTGCTGGCTTTGTACCAGTAGGTGGTTTATCTTATTTATAGTAAGCAGGTTTTGTTGGCTCACACTCAGTTTGACATCCCCTGTAACCCCTGTTTGGGGTCCTGTTTGGCAGTGCTGCCATTCAGCCACTCACTTCATAGCTGCTACTGGGACAAGGGCAGATTTCTTCTCAGATGCAGAACATTGAAATTCTTGTTGAGCTTCATGAGATGTCTGTTGGCCCAGATTTTGTTATTAATTTCACCTAGATAATGTTATTAAATCAAGGCCATTTGTTAAATTCTCATACTGTTGTAATCAAAGCTCTATCATACTCAAATGGAAAAAATTAGGAACTGAACTGGGCTGTGGAAAGCAACAGGGGGTTTTTTGGTAGCATTAGCTTTAAAGTATAAGCATGCTATTTCAAAATTATGTACATATTCCTCCATTAAGTTTTGTGTTTATGGTAAATTTAAATTTGCAGTCAGAATAGAATTACATGCAGACAGTGAAAATATTGTCAGTTATTGATAATTAAATCAATGGACATGAACATATATCTAAAATGAAGCTGTACAAAAAACTGATAGCAAATGAAGATGGAGAACCTCTCATGTAAAAGGCTAAAATATATTCCAAGTTGCCAGAGCTCCAGCTCTACCCATTATACAAAACATTTGTTATGCAGACAGACGTCTGAGCTTTGAGTTTCTTTCCACTTCATTCTCTTTCCTACATTTCAGTATTTCTCCTTTTTTGTGTCTTTTTGGTTTGCTTCTTGTCTAAAAAGGGTGTTGATTAGGTAGTGAAGATGAATAAACCTATTGCAATATTCTTAGAAACACTGAAGGAGAGACACCTTAGACAGCATGAGCTTGTAAATAATTTACAGGTTTTGGAGTGGTTCATAAGACCATGTGCTGGAGGTGTAATTTCCCAGCAACAAAATTGCAAGCAAGCGAGGTCATCAAAAGGCAGAATCATATTTATTATTCTCTATCTCTTCTTTCTGTCAGTTTAAATTATTTTCTCTTTAAAAGAGGGAGCACTGGACTCCGTTCTCTATGAACTTTCCCTCCTTTTTATTCTCCACATGGAAAATACATTAATACAATTTTAAAAGATTGTCAAGCTGAAATTTGCTGTAACAAATTATATACAGATCAGGGAAAAAAGAATATAGGAAATGGTTTAAATATGCCTCACATTGTTCTTTCAAACTATTTAATTATTTTCCTCTATTTTATAAGAGATTAATGAAAGGTTAGATAGATTTTTTTAATTATAGTTTGTACAAAGGAATAAGTCAGCAATAACTTGAAAAAAAGCCATGGGGCATACTTAACAATTACGATATTTAATCTTATTCACTGAACTGCAGAAATCTCCTGATAAACACAAGAAAGCCAGATTTATGAGTCCAGAAAAGTGCAGGTTTGGAGGTAAATTGTGTTGGCTACATATATTTTTAGAATACAATTATTTAAGAACAAGAGTGTTCACTGTCATATAGTGACTCAGAAGGAAATTCCAAGCTAAAGAAAGAAAAGTTTTGAACTGATAGTTCTGGTAAGAGTAATTGGTCAGCATCACAGATTTTTAATGAATGTTCTTAAAACACTACAGACCTTCAAGGATGGAGAAGGTGTTACCAGCAATGCTGTGCCAAAGAACAGAGGAAAATACAGAGGGTCAGCCTAGAGCAACTCAAACTGTCATTCCCGGGTCTGCTAATAAATAATTCTCTGAAAGTAGGTTGCCTTTTCAAGCAATGATTCTTTCAAACAGTATGGTGATACCAAAGCTTATTAAGTGACAGGAAAAAAATACTACCCTTAAATGAGGAATGTAGATCATGTATTTTTTTTAAAAAAAGGCTCCTAAGTAATTTTGAACTAACGAATAATAAATCAGACAGATTTTTGCAGAGTACCCTTAATTCTCCTCTAGCTCTTGACAGCTACAGGCTAAGGACTGACAGAGTTGGAGTTGCTGGCACTTCCTGTAAAAAAGGGGAGAGCACTCTTTGCAAAATGAGTATAGTTTGAATGTCTTTGTCATCCAAGGAAAAGGGAGAAAAATTGCATTGCATGTTAATAAGCCATAGAGTTAGAAAAACTTAGATGCTCATTTTGTCAGTCATTATTTATTAAGTGTCTCAGGAAAAAAAAGTCAGTACCTGACCTGTACAAATTCAGATATGCAGGTTTTCTCTTTAATTCCTTCAAAATGTGCCTAGCTATTTTGTTTTCTGAAAAAAAAAATTACCTGCAGAACAGAAAGAAGTCACTGCTTCTTTTTCTAAATTCCAAAGTAATGTATTATCCTTTCACATACCCACTCATCTCAGGGGAAAGGCTGTGTTCTTCCTTGTGCAGGTCTGGGAATGACGTAGATTATATACCAATGTATTCTTGAAAGAGGAACTTATAAAATACCTTTGTTACATTGTCTACATTGAATTACTATAATGTTATATCAGTATGTATCTGAACAATTCACTGAAGTTTTCTTTATTGTGCTTTGACTCCAAGTAAAAATACTGCCCTCTTGCATGCACTTCTACAACTCCAGAAGGCTTCACATAAAAAGACAAGCAGAGTAGTAGAATCATAAAGCCATAGAATCATCGAGGTTGGAAAAGACATCTGAGATCATTAAGTCCAACCATTAAGCCAGCACTGCCAAGTCCACAACTAAACCATGTTCCTAAGTGCCACATCTACAGAACTTTAAATGTCTTCATCGATGATGTCTCAACCACTTCCCTGAGCAGGCTATTCCAATGCTTGATAACCCTTTTGGTGAAGAAATTTTCCCTATTACTCCGTCTGAACCTCACCTGGGACAACATGAAGCCATTTCCTCTCGTCCTATTGCTTGTTACTTGGGAGACCAACTGTAAGCCTGCTAGGAGCCAGAGACACTGGCCCATCTGACTGCAGTCTTTTTGGGAAGCTGGTAAAGCAGAGAGAGATGTTTTAGATGCCTCCATACCCAGCAACATGACAGCCAAGGAGATGCCTCCTCAATTAATGGATTACTCTTTACCTGATGAAGGGTAGAGATGTTCCTGCCATTCCCCAAAGGCTTTGGTTCGAAAGGCAGTGCAGCCAGTATATCTGGTCTTACAGAGACCTGTGCTCTAATTCTGACTCCATAGCTGTCAGCCTCTGTGGCTGGGAACAAATAATTTTGTATGTCTATCTACGACACAATTGTTTGTCTGTCTGATCAAACAGAATTGTTTCTTACTGTGTGCTGGCACATACTTAGTTATGATGAAAAGCAGATTTTGGCTGAGAAAAGTGACATAAAACCTAAATAATCCTAGATCTACAGAACTGACATCCATTTATCAGATGGTGCATTTGTCTCTCAGTTAGCAAGATTACACTATTTGTTTCTTTGCAGAAGCTGTCAGAACTATAGCTCATTGGTCTTTATTTTATCTAATTAAAATACCATTTTTTCTCACATGAAAAGCTATTATTACACTGGTAAAAGATATTTCACTGCTCTTTATCTTCATTTAAAGCTATTTCGTTTCCCCAGTGTAGGACTAGGAGCATATATGTTTGAACCCTCAGTCCAAATAGCATGGAAACTGACAAAAATAAATGTATGAACCTTAGCACTTAATTTGTATTTTCTTGCTTATCTTTGTTTCTAAAAATTCTTTCCTTTTAAGGCTTTTTTTCACCCTCTGTGTTAAAGAAGGAATTAAGGCAAAAAAGGAATTAAGTGCATTGCCCAAAGTCATCTCCTCAGTCTGACAAATTCAGGACTAGAAATCGGCTCTCTGGTCTTTGATATTTATGTGCAACTTAGTAAACCATACAGTATTCCTTCTGCTTTTCCTACCTCTTTACATAAGTAATTTTTCTGAAGTCACAACTCTAATCATCTTTTTTCTTCTCCTTCACTTCCTTTCTTTTTTTTTTTTAGCCACTCTGTTCTGACACTTCCTGCTTATTCTTTCTTATATATATTTCAGTTTATGAAAAAGATGTAAAGAGGCAAAAGGTTCTGCAAGGTTTGAATAAGATCTTCAATGTCAGGGTCTTTTGAATTCATTGAATATAACTCTTCCAGTTGAATTTTACTGCATGTTCTGTCAGTAATATATAAGTGCTTACATTCCTGCTTGATTTCCATACCATGCAAATGTTGCTTGCAGCTGCAGGAGTGACAGCAATGGCTCCATGCTGTGCAGCAGGGCAGTTGCTGCTCATTTGCGTCACTCAGGTGGCAACTGAAATTGAGATACATGGCACAAAAGAAGTTTTTATCTCATGGGATTTCTTTAGAAAGATACTTCAATGTGATAAACATTTAATATTTGGTTGAAAGTGCAAAGTCACACATGTTAAACTGTCAGAGTCACATACATGTTGTGAATGGTCTTGTGAACACGAGTTGACTGGACCAGATTGGATGGTATTTATTTCTTGTCTTTCACTTTCTTCCAGGAATGCCCCAGTGGTGTTGTCAATGAAGAAACCTTCAAAGAGATTTACTCTCAGTTCTTTCCACAGGGAGGTGAGTACTTGGCAGACATAATTAATACTACAGTATATTTGGTAGTTCCTAAGTCTGACAAAAGAGCCTGTTCAAATTAACAAGATTGTTGCCTCAAGCTCTGTCTGAACTCATGGCATACTTCCTTAATGGTTGGACACATTTTAAAGTATATATTCCTGAATGAAATACAGTGATATCTACAAGAAGTCAGTCTTTTGTTATGAAGTTACTACCTGTGCTTGGGTACCATTGAAAACAAAGTTTCTCTGAGTAGGTTATTTATTTTTAAACTTTCTAAACAGTCTTCTCAGTTCTCTTTTATTCCAAAAAAACCCTTTTTACAGTAGGAGGAACCATAGAGGGCACTACAGGTACCCCCTAATATCGACGGCAGAACCCTCTTTAATGCTATGGAGTTTCCCTTCTTAAATGAGGGCTTTTTTTGCTAACCTTGATTTCAATTAATTGATTTCCAGGGGCTTCAAAATTTCTTTATCTCCACTATCTTTTGGTGCAATGAAGGTAACACAAAAATAAGGAATGTACACTTTTCTGTGGAAAAATCCCAACAAACCAACAAACCACAAACTTTTTTTTCTTTCACATTTCATTTTAACAAAATACAGCAAAAAGTCAGATTTTTAGCAGTGTAGAAAAGTACTGAATCCAGATAATTCAGTCATCTGTAACAGATGTTGTGTACTAGTGAGAGGATTTCTGGCTTTCTTAATAAAGCTGTTTCAGACACCTCAACAAAGAGCACTGAGAAGTGACCATCAGAATTCATCCCCTTCCTCCCCTCATTCTCCATGGCCTTCACACAGTGGCATACAGCCTTGGCAGTACATAAATGCAGCACAAACAAATGTGAAAGCCTTATTTAGTTTTCCTCAGAAGTTCAGGAGGAATATTCGGTGAAAATGGCAGAAGAGTTGAATGTCCTTGGAAGAGTAACAGCTCACATCAATATTCCTTTAATTTCTATGGGCCTACTGAGTCTTGAACTGTTTTATGTAAGTTTTGTGCTGTTTTGTAAGGTGCCTGTGTTAACTTTTGCCTTTTCTGAGAAGTACAGGAGTTCAAGTCTATTCTTTGTTCCTCACATTAGCCAAAATATTCTCAAAGCCCAATTAATTCTCAGTATTTGTATATCCCTGCATGTTAACGGGGTGAGATCATAATATATAGGTGTCTAGTTAAGCAGCCAGACTGGATTCTTAAATCTTTGAATTTATTGCCAAAATATTGTGTCCAGCTGAGGCCTTTAAATTTCAGTTGTGCTAAAAATAATGGTTTTATCTATGTCTGAATATTAAAGAGGAAAAAGAAAAAGCTTGAAAGTTGTCCCCAAATTAAAACACGCCTTACACATATTTTCGGGCTCCAGTTATCTATGTAATGCAAACCCAGGTACAACATGATGAATCATTATAATAGTTCATATCTGAGCAAACAGAATGTAAGATTTTAAGCTTCAGGGCAACCAAAGTAATTTTTAAATATTAACCAACAAGTCACTTCATTAGGTAACTTTCAAGACTGTCCAGGACAAGGTACAGGAGGACTATAAACAGGACAAGGGGCCAGAAGAGTAATAAAGGATATGACATTGGATTGCAGTAAAACCGATGTGTTTTAAAGGCAGAAGTTAATTTGTAAAAAGCTTTCCATGCCAGAAAGGGCACCCCAGTAACTTCTTTTTAGAAAACCACTGCCATACAGGTGAATGAATAGGCCCCCTCGGTGCATGCAATGGATCACCTGAAATATAACTTGGGATTTTTCCTCAGCCAGGCAGGTTGTAGATAAGAATCCACACTCTGGATAATTATTACACTCCTCCATCACTTACAAACAAAACAGATCATGCTCGTAGTTTGATGAGCCATATTCTTCGATGTAAAATGACTATCATTTTTTCTCTCTGATGTTTAAAATGCTTTGATGGTGTTTTTCAAAGGAATTCTAATTTAATATCTGTTCCTGTCTTAACCTGTCAAAGTAGCGATTTATCCTCCTAGTTATGATATCAGATCCCTGGAAAAAAATATTTAATTTAAAAACTTAAAATTTTGTCAAACATGATTAATGTTCAAGATTTAGGAGGGCAGGAGCAGAGGGGAATTAGATTAAGTAGCTCTAATTAAAAGACTAGTGTACCTTATCCTGCTGTGGTTTTGAAGGCAAAATTTCAAACCAGAACTGCTTGAACAAACAACTCTGAAAAAGGCCTATCAGAAAGAAAAGGTTCTTCAACTAGAGACTTTTTTTTGTCCAGATACCACCAAAAAAATTAGTATATTGTATCATGTATGGGCAACAAACAAAATATCTTTATGCTCACCCTTGTGTTTTTTGTATATCTACAAAAATAATTAGAAATATTTCAGATATTTTTAAGAAATTAATGCCAAGAGAATGGAAAGCTATTTAAAATTCAGTTTACAGTAATTATACCTCTATTATATGTTTTTTCCCTGAAGATGATTTACATGGTATATTCTGTTGCACAACAGAAGTCTCAGTAGATTATAGAAAATATGACTATTAAAATCTTAAATATAAATTGAAGTCAACTAATTTACATTTTTCAGTTAAAGTGTGAATTTATCTGCTAGTCCGTGCTTAAGCAATTACACTGGTGACCGGATACATGGAAGAATGAATAACTGCTTCAGTAGTGTGGATTTTTTTAATACTCTGAAAAGGCATTAACAGACATAAGGCTTAAAGGTTGCATTTTTTCTTGTTGTGATTATTTCACATCATATGAAATTAACATATTGAAGTAAGACCAGAGACTTTTTTTACAAATGCCAGGTCTGAATATGCGAAGGACAAAGTTCTGAGTTTTGGTATATTTGGTTCTTTAGAGTCAAGGTGGCATTTCAGGTGAGTGACCCAAGACTGACACTCAGTTTAATACAAAACAATATTTTGGACTGTGACAAATAAAGGCTTGCAGGATTGATACAAAAAGTAAAATGGTTTAGTGCCAAGAAATCAGAAAAAAAGCATCTCAGCACTGGTGAGGTTTTTCCATGATAGGGAGAGGTTTGTTCTGCAAAGGGACACTGCTTTCATAACACTTCTCCCTTTATTACAGGTTTGTGAGATTAATGTTAATTAACCTAAACTTATTGCAAATATATGAAGTAGAAAGAGCAAAGATATGAGTATTAAAAGTAAACAAAGCCTCATCCTACATTAATTTGCATGGTTTTGAGGGAGAGAAAAGGCACTGAGGAAAGCTGACTTTCCACAACCCCAGCAGCTTGTACCTCACATGCACAGGGCAGTGTGAGATATGAAGAGATAAGTTCTCTCTTCACAATATATTACTCCTGGAGCAGTGGAAATAGAAAGATGAATCTTTACAATAAATTAGAGTCTTAACAGACTTATATTGATGCTGTCTTGTGTTTCTAAAATGAATCAATGTGCACTGGGGAGTAGGTTTGAAAAGTACACAAATAATCAGTGAAGGGATTGCTTGTTTAAGGTCATCTTTCAGAGTCTTACTGACCATTTAGTCAGTCATAGCCAGTTTTCCCAAGGTTTTCAAGCACTTAGCCCTCATGCAACAATAATAGGAATTAAGTAGCAAACCAGCTTTAAGAATCTGCTTCTCAGGAGAGGATTTTCTCTCATCCATGGGTGAGCATATGACCTGATCACAGCAGCATCTTTCTGACAAGATCAGCTTCAACCTGGGAAACAGGTCTGTCTCCAGAGTGAAACCAATATACCAGAGGCACCGATGGTAGTGTCTGCTTCCTTCATTTAGAGTGAACAAATGAACACATTTTTCATTTTAAATATGTGAGATAAATCCCTCATCACCATCGTTTAGCATTCCCATTAACACAGGTTGTTTCAGAGTACAATAACGTCATCTTTTCTATTTGCTCAGGTATCACTGATTAGCAAAAATGGGAATAAAACCAAATAGAGATATTCTAGAAGAAAATTTTGGATTTTCAGTTCTTAGCAGTGTTTCTATCCATGTCTTGCACTTATAATTTATCCCTCTTCCTCTGACAAAAATGAAGTTTAAACTTAATTGAAACTTCAGTCTTGTTATGAAATTTTGGTAACAAAGTATATCTTGGTCTCATATAGTTTTAATAGAATGAAATTACATTAAATAATATGTGTTTACGGTGAATTATTTTTGCTGGTTTAAATTTTAGATTCCACAACGTATGCACATTTTCTGTTTAATGCATTTGACACTGATCACAACGGATCTGTAAGTTTTGAGGTAAGTGATACTGTTGCTTCTTTTTCTGAAACTATTTTGCCATTCCTTGTAATTAAGTCCAGTATGGTGGACTTTATTATATGGTTTTAATTATGAAAAATTTAGCTTATGTGACTCAAGTTTCAAGTTTTTCCAATGTAATAACAAAAGTCATTATTGTACAATTGTATATTCCATACTGGTAACTCAGACTGTGCTACTATGTAATATTTTTATAAATCTGCTCATTTAAAAGGTAACTCAATTTATACACAAGTTACCCAAAATAGTCATTATCTTCCTCTGCGCTTCTGCAAGGTAGGAAGGTCTCTGAACTACAACTAATGTTATGGAGATGACTCAGACAAAATAGGATGGCTCATACACTCTATTAGTTTCCAGAAAGGACTAGAAAAAGGCTTTAAAGAAAATGTTTTTAAAAGCACAAGAGTTTCAAATTCATCCTTCCTCCATTTAGCTGCCCAGTCCCAGTTCTGCCTTTCCCTGGTAAGACTGATGTCATCAACACAATAACATGGTAAAAAGGGACCTCACTGCAATAGTGTAGATGAGAACAGTCTATATAAAATACTGCAAAGGATATATTATTTTAAGCTGTAGAATTTTTAAAAAATAGCTAATTTGCAAAAGGATGTGTTTGCTTTGGTTTGTTTTGCTTTGATTTGTTGCGGTTATAATGAATGGATGATTTCCTTACAACTTGTGATTGGATTGTGATAAATATACCCACTTTAAATTTATTGAAATGGCCCATACACGTTTTTATGATTTTCTTTACTGAATGATTTTGTGAGGTCTGAAAGATTTTTTTTTAAGCATTTTCATTGCTTTATTATTGATGCAATAGAAGAAGACTCGTCAAGCAGGTGCACTGTGATCAGAAATCTATACCTCAACTGAGACTATAACCAGATAATTTTGTGGGGGATTATTTGCATCTATTTAAAAAAACCCCAACAAATATGAACCCCATCTACCTTTTTCTGGGCAGCTGAAATCAGTGGGCTCTATGTGAAACTAGAAGCAGGAATGGAAGTTTTATTCATATCTTCTGTACATAGGCTAATTCTACAGGGAATCTTTTTGGTCAAATCATAGAATCATACAATGGTTTTAGTTTGAAGGGACCTTAAAGATCCTCTAGTTCCAACACACCTGCCATGGGCAGGGACACTTCCCACTGGACCAGGTTGCTCAGTGCCCCCCATCCAGACTGGCCTTGAACACTTCCAGGGATGGGGCATCCACAGCTTCTCTGGGCAACCTGTTTCAGTGCCTCACCATCCTCACAGTGAAGAACTTCCTTCTATATCTAACCTAAATTTCTCCTCTTTCAGTTTCAGGAACAGCAGAGGCAATGAGAAAAAGCATTTTTAGAATCAGTAGCTGAAAAGTATTTCTGCTGTTATAATGGGAACAAAAGAAGCTTTTGTACCTTTCCTGGTCAATTTGTTGCCATTTGTATCTCAGACAGAAAGCCTTAAGAAATGCACTAGATTTAAAACCCCTTTTAAGGGTTTTGATTACCTCACAGGGCAGGTCTGTGCACAAAAAGAAAAAAAAGGCTTTGGAATAAAATAAATCTGAGAAATATAAGCAGCAGTGGGGGGTTTTTTATTACTAAAACATATTTCCAGCTAATCAGGTCAGACGTGAGTGATCCAGACTTTCATATTATTTTCACTAATTGTGAATCCAACATAATTCTGCTGCTGTCAAAAGACTCTTGCTTCTGTGTCCTTGTAGCAACATTGTACTAACAAACTGTATGATAGCCATTCCAAAAGCATCCTCCTGAAGTTAAAGTATGGGGTTTTTTTTCAAATCTCATTAAAGGTAGCTTCAAAATGTGAATGTAGATATTATGAAATGTGAATAATACAATAATCTAATTTTTTTCCTGCTCCTTTTTATCCTAGGTGCAACTGTGCCATATTCTTTCTGTTCCATCTGTATTCTAGTTTTCTAATTTCCATTAGAAAAACAACAAAAGTAAACAGTTCAAAAGGTAGAGAGGGAGTGATTTAAAAGTTTGGAGAACAAATAATCATTCTTTCCAGTTTACTTTCTATATCAAAGTGTAGGAGTAAATACAACTCAATATAATGACCTATGATGAAAAACACTGGTTATCTTCTGTGTAAAAAGGATATGAAAATCTGAAATTTCATAGCAAAATTCTTTTGTAGGTAAGAATGACATTTGTTTTGTGTTGCACTCTCCATTTTCTGATGAATCAGTGGTAGCTGGAGTTGCGGGTAAAAGGAGAATTTGTTCTAGCTTTTTGCTCTTTTTTCCTCAAATTTTCAACCATCAACAGTGAAGTGTTAAAATTTAGCACAACTTAAAAGCACACCTCAATTACATGAGATAGCTTGGTGAGATTGTTATGTCCTTAGAGTTTTGTCAGCCCTGAATCTGTATGCTCTCTGATAAGAGTCAGGATCTCTAAGTGAAGCATTTTATGTAGCATAAAGAAGCAAACTCATTAAATAGGTACTTGAACTTATTTCTCCTTATCCCATGACTGAATCAGTTTTGAGACGAGCTTATTTCATTAGTTATGCCAAGTAGTTTTGCTTTAACATGAGAGACAGAGTTTCTGAAGGCCTAGTGACCCAGCTATTGAAGGGCTCTTTGGACATATTATGAAATGAAGTTCTTTTTTCCATCAGACAGAGACAGATGTGAAAGCAAAGTTTCCACTTGCTGCATATATATTGCCACAGAACGAAAATGAAGATCTGGGCCTTAAGGCTATTTACACTGCCAGGAAAAGGGAGGCTAATTAACTTTAAACATATTGTCAAAGGTAAAGCACATTGCACATACAACCATCCAAATAGTATCCTTTGTTTGTGCAGATTAAGGCTATTCTAAATATGACTTTGCTGAAAGTCACTCAATAATTCCACTACTTCTCAATGCCTTAAAGCACAAAGCTGTGCCCAAACACAATGGAGATGTTTAAAGATTTTTGTCATATTTAATCAAAACCAAACTTGTATTTGTTTTTTTCAAACAATTATTAATATTGCTTAGCAAAGTTCTTGGTGATTTTCTAATTGCATTATTTCCCAATTGTTACCTGAGAATTTTTCATCAGGGCCTTGGGTTGACCCTGACTGTATTCTAGGCACCCACTAAAATCACTAAGAGCTGGGAGAAGTCACACAGGCAAAACAAAACTCAACGTGAGGATGGTACTAAAATTTATTACTAACAGGATAAGAGCTAAAGAGTGAGAAATAAAACAGTCTTAAACACACTTTCCAACCACCCCTCCTTCCTTCCATGTTCTCCCTCCTCTCCCTGCATCAGTGCAGGAAAAGAAGTCCACTCATAGGGCAACAGGTCTTCCAAGTCTGCTGTCCTGTGGGTCACCCTTCCATGGACTGCAGGGGGACAGCCTGCTTCACCATGGTCTTCACCATGGGCTACAGGGGAGCCAAAGCTCTGAGTCCTTCCCCTATTCTGTGGGGTCCCTTCCATGGGAAACAGTCCTTGATGGACCTCTCCAATGTGGGCCCACACCCCCCCTTCCAGGCTGCAGATCTTCCATATCTGCCGTTCCGTAGGTCATTCCTCCATAGGGTGCAGGGGGTCTCTGCACCCCGATGATATTTCATAGGATGCAGTCTTTAACAGATGAGTTGCACCGATGTGGGTCCCCCACAGGGCCATGAATTGCATCCTCCCTGGGAATAACCAGCTCTGGCGCAGACTCCTCTCTCCATGGCCCAAGCCAGCTCAGTTCCAGTGCCATGCCTGCCCTGGGCCGGGGCTTCCGTCAGCAACCCCCCCCCGGCTCCAATCTCTTCTGTGCAACAAACTTTTTCTTAAATATGTTATCACAGAGGCGCAACAATTGGCTCTCCCTTGGCCAACAGCAGGAAGTCCCTCCTGTAGCCAGCTATCATTGGCTCCACAGGGGGAAAACTTCTAGTAGCTTCTAACAGAAATCACCCCATGTAGCACCCCCCACTACCAAAAAAAAAAATAATAGCCACAGAAACCCACAACAATCAGTTAATAAACTAGCAAGCATGCTAACTCAGTTCCATAGAGGAGTACAGTTCTTAAGATCAAACACAACTTTGATATTTCATTAATAATAAAAGTGATTTCCAAGGCAGTAATGTAAGGGCAGTAGTTTAGTGAATCATAGAATCATAGAATGTCTTGGATTTGACGGGACCTTAAAGATCATCTAGTTCCAACCAGCCTGCCACAGGCGGGGGTATCTTCCACTAGACCAGGTTGCTCAGTGCCCTGTCCAACCTGGCCTTGAACACTTCCAGGGATGGGGCATCCACAGCTTCTCTGGGCAACCTGTACCAGTGCTTCAACATCCTTACAGTAAAGAGTTTCTTCCTAATATCTAATCTAAACCTACTCTTTGTCAGTTTAAAGTCATTCCCCCTTGTCCTATCAATACATGTCCTTGTGTAAAGGACATGTCCTTCTCCAGCTCTCTTGTACCCCTCTTTAGGTACTTGGATGCTGCTATAAGGTGTCCCTGGAGTTTTCTCCAGGCTGAACAAGTCCTACTCCCTCAGCCTGTCTTCATAGCAGAGGTACTCCAGTCCTTTGATCAGCTTTGTGGCTCTTCTCTTGACTTGTTTCAGCAGGTCCATGTCCTTGGGATCCAGAGCTGGATGTAGTACTCCAGGTGGGGTCTTGTGAGAGCAGAGGGGCAGAATTGCCTCCCTCGATCTGCTGGTCATGCTGCTTTTGATGCAGCTAAGGACAGAGTTGTCTTTCTGGGCTGTTAGTGCACGTTGCCAGGTCATGTTGAGCTTCTTGTCAACCAACACTCCCAAGACCTTCTCCTCTGGGCTACTCTCAATCCATTTTCTGGCCAGCCTGTATTTGGGCTTCAGATTGCCCTGACCCAGGTGCAGGACCTTGAACTTGGCCTTGTTGAAATTCAGGAGGCTAACAAGAAGGATTCTCTGGGTTCAACACAAAAAGCTTTGTTCATGTTATGTAGCAAATGAACTAATTTTTCTCAGGGCAGTGGTGATCTCATAAAATGCTATTTTACCACCAGCTGATTTAAAGTCACTACAAAGAAATAATACATTTCCTCTTAACAGCAGCTCCTCCTCTGTGACCTTTGTTTTACACGCATCAGGGCTCCACCACTTCTGTGACATCACTTAATTCCTTTTCAAAATCCTAAAATCTAAATTAAAAACTTGATTTAGGTTCCTGCCTACCTACTTCTCCTGGCCTTGAACAAGACATAAGGGAATACAAGATCAAGTGGAATAATTTTAAGCTTTCCTATGGATTTGAGATAGCACACTAAGAAACTTGCCAATTAATTTATTAATGATCTTATTATCCCTAAAGATTTACTGAGGGATAAAGCAATCAGTCATCAACAACATTGCTAGGAGATAATTAATCACTGCTAAAAATTATGAAATTGTGGGGTTACACAAATACAAGTTCATCCCAGATCACAACTAGAGGCTCTATACAGCTGTAGTGCAGAACAGAAACATGAGTAGACTGTGATACTGAGCACACAGAGGCTCCAGTATGGGTGCAATGATGTTCCATTTTGCAACCCTTCAGTGAGACATCCCACTTTCTTGCAGAATCAAAATTAGGCACAGAAGGAGGTCTTAACAGGTATTAGCATGTTCTGCAGGAAACTAGCAAGTTACAAATAGGAAGCTGTGGAAAGGAGTAAAGGCAAGTACCAAGGCAAGACTTTTGTGCTTCTAACTTCGCTGTCACAGATTGAAGAGAGACCCAACCTAGAGTAATGTCTCAGCCCAGACTTATGTAGTTTTAGGCTTGTCACCCTAGATCAGATGCACCTCTCCTCATTAGGTGCTCAGCTGAGTAGGACTCAGCGGACAGTGACAGCATCCTCAGAGGATGTAAGTGAATTTTACTTAAAAAATAAATAGGCTCTAAAAGGAGAATTCCTCTCTCCAGAAATTAGATGTCTAAACCAGGAAGAAAACCACATCTGGGCACTCTAATATTGTAAAGGGGACTTGTATTCATGCTCTGTGCTAAATGGTGTGCCTGATTCATGCATCAAGGAGTTGTTGGTAACAAGCATATAGATGGATAGATGCTCTCTGAGTTCAGCTGCTACCTTCAGCACTGCTGTTTTCCTATAGCAGTCTGCAATGGATTATTACATGAACAGCCAACATAGCTAGACTGTTCCTGGCACACTGCCTTCCACTATGAAGAGCATTTTCCCCTTCAAGAGTCTAGCCTATGGATTTAGCCTATATCTATTGAATCAGACATTCTATTTCTGTATGATTTTATTGCTATGTTCTTCACTTGCATGAAAGTAAGTATGTAGAAAAGATGTCCCATCCTAGCTGGTCCTTATCCAGCTCATCACAACTTCCTATTATGATAAATCCTTTCTGTTTTTCCTGAGATGGACTCTTGCACAACACTCAGACAAAGGCAATGCACCTGAACTATGCACTTGAACTGTCACAAAACATCTTGATGTAAATATGGAAGAAGATGACTTGCTCTTGCAATGTTTAAAGCACATACCTGGAGGGTTTTTGAGTTGTCTCAGTCCCATGAAAAAAGCATAAAGTCAAGTTTTATTTATGTGTCATTTTTAAAACCGATGATAGAAGGGTAGCCTTGGAAATGGGGATAAATGATGCCAGGAAGCCAGCTAACATGGGTGGTGCATCACAGAAAAGAAGAAAGAGAATTTACAAGAAAAGAAAAATGGATATAGTTTAGATAAAACAAATTAAAAAATGTTGCAAATTCAAAATTGAATTCCGAATTCTTAAATATAATAATTTAAGAAAATAACATTACTGGAGACCTTCAGGAAGGACTTCAGGAAAAACTCCATCAAGAATGTAAAACAGTGCAGAAAAGATTTGAAGACATGGTACTGAATTAAAAAGGTTAATTGGTAATGCTGTAATGTGATCAAATCTGTTCTGAATTTCTTGAACATTTTAATGCTCAATAGTACATTGTTAAAGAGCTGTTTGGAGATTTAACCCTGTGGCCCTCAATTAGTTATTGAGATGTAGACAAGACAGGTTGAGCAAAACTCTATCAAGATTCATGTATCCGTTTACCCCAAAGGGCACATACACCAGTAAGACAGAAATTTTTGACAGACTAAGAAAACCCAGAGCATGCCACTTGAATTGTTAAAAAGATTGAAACTGTCAGAAGAGCTGTCTGTGCCTACTAGAATATCTGAGGCCATGATATCTTTGTATACTTCACTGTACCAGATATACTTATTTGACTGTGTGGTACATCAGACCTTTGTAATTTATGTCTAGTCTCAGTGTAGTCTTTTCCATTGTTCCTGTGATAGAGGAAATGCATAATCTTTGCTGGTGCCCATAAGAAATATTTCAGTTTTTTTAATCTCTGCATTAATGTCTCTAAGACCTCCTGTATGTCATTGGCAGTGATGTAGAAACACACATTTAAATACAAGCTCTTGCCATATTCTGCTCAACCTATTATGGCTACAATTTCACAGATTTATGGGTTCACAAGCTTATTAAATAGAAAAAGGTAGAGGAGATGTTTAGGGAAAAAAGCGCTATTGTTTAAAAAATGTTAACATGCTAAGAAATACAGAAGACAGGTGACAGCACTTGATATTTTCTTCAGTCTGGAAGATGCTTACTAAATGTAAATGAGGTTTGTGCTGCCAAGAGTATTTGTTATGAAACAAAAATCTATAACCAAATACGACATATAAATAATCCCCAAAGTCTTCTGATTCATTTCTGTGGAATCGCTTACAGCAGTAGAGCATTGGTGGGTCACAATGGTACATGGACACAGAATGTATTTATTATTCCCTATCATACTTCCAATAAAAGTGTTAAGTATTGAGGTCTGCTATATCATACATGAAGTTTGAAATATTGACGGCAACAGACTGATCTAAGAGATATGGGAACCACATATTCCACTTTAACAAGGTACAGATTTAAGAAGAATTTTATGTTCCTTAGTAGATAGTTCTCCCCGAATTGGCCTCCTGTGCTTAGATTAATCTAACTCCCATTTAAGCTTTTCTTGGACCATTAAACCATGGGGATTGCTTTTTCCTGGTATTAACTTCAACAGGAACTACTTATGTGAGGCATTTCAGAGGATACAACCACTAAGAGAAAATGATGGTTTACTTTATAGAAAATTACTCAATTTACTTATTAATTATGAGTGTAGCAAACAGTGCCTAGATTGTTAATTATTTAAGAAACCAGCAATCCATAACACTTCCCATGAAGCAAAAAAAGAAGAGAAACAACACATCTTTCCAGACTTCTGACAAATGCATTATTCTGGATTTCTGAGTGTTTGTGAAAAACTGCTCAATTCCAAACTGACCAAGACCTTTTGTCTATTTAGGATTTTGTTATGGGTCTCTCAATTTTACTGCGAGGGACAGTACAGGAGAAACTGAACTGGGCTTTCAATTTGTATGATATAAATAAGGATGGATATATAACTAAAGAGGTAAGGTCTTCTTACTTTAGTCACCGAAAGTAAATGTATAGCTAAGTTCTGCTTTCAAAAAAGAATGGTTTCATTGTCAAACTAGACGTTAACAAAATTACCATATATTATAAAGTTAGACATGCTAAAAATTACAGTAGTTTTCTCATTTTAAAGGCATATATGAAAATTGAAAAGGCAATATCTTTACGAAATTTGTAAAAGGTCAGAATTCTTCAGTACAGAAATGGTTAGCTTCAATTTATGCCTGTCTATTTGCACATGCAGTCACTAGGATATCTGGACAAAAAGGAATTAAGTACATGCACAATAGTTGTTACTCATTTTATAAATCTACTTCTAAAAATTTTTACTTGAAACAGAATTTATATAGAAAGATTCCTATATCTTTTATTCTGCAAGGATTTAAACACATACTTAAATGATAGTGGGACAAAATGAGTGCTTTCATTAAAATCTATAGGTATTTTTTAGGTGGGTTTTATGTAAATATATATAAATATATGTAAATTACACTTTTAGTTTCACTTTTAGAAAACTTCATGATCACTATAAAAGAGTGATCTATAGAATACTTTCCCAGCAAACTGCAAATTACTTGTTTTTATAATTAAAGTTTTCACAAGCCACTCTACTAAGAAAATTCAAAGCTTTTGATACAAAAGGAGGACTGCATACGTGCAGGTGTGTGCATGGGTGTTTCTGTTTTCTCTAGGGAAAATTCAGTTGTAAGAAGCTGATGTGCTTTGGCCACTCAGTTGCTGTTACAGAACTTCTTTTCCTGTTTATTTTTACTCATGAGACATTGGGAGATTCTTCCCACAACCCGTGAACTTGTGCATATTCTAAATAATTTAAAATCAAAATCATACATTGATGAAAGCTGAACTCAGATGCTAGATTTTCTAGGAACAACATAGTTCCTTCTTGAAGCTGTTCAGTCAAAAAATATCAGGCACAATCTCAATATTTTATTCTAAAATGTAAATCCTTAAAATTATTTACATGTTCTGAGTTAAAGCAGTGTCTACAATGCACATTACATTACACAAACATCTATTTTTTTCCTCTTCAGGAAATGCTTGATATCATGAAAGCAATATATGATATGATGGGGAAATGCACCTATCCTGTTCTCAAGGAAGATGCACCTAGACAACATGTGGAAACATTTTTCCAGGTAGGTCAGATAACATAGAAACCAAAAAGACTGCTCTGTGAGCAGATAGAGAAAGATTTTCCATGTTATAACAGTTTTGCATATCCTTCCAATTCTGTAATCCTTTTTTTCTCTGTGGTTCTATCCCAAGTTTCTCAGATCTACTTGTTACACCTTGCTTTTTCAACAATAAGCTCCTTAAGCTTATTACAGCATATCACTTACTACATCTTTTGGCATGGTTGTTCCTAGGCTGACATATAACTGAAACAAATAATAAAATGGACTTGTTTTACACAGGATTTCAGGAGGAAAAATGTACATTTTATTTTTTTTTAACAGAAAATGGACAAAAACAAAGATGGCGTAGTTACCATAGATGAATTCATCGAGAGCTGCCAGAAAGTAAGTATTCAGTGATAAGTACTGAATGTGTATCTGTTGGCTAATGCCATCATACTGCTACACAGATTTCTGGAGTGAGGATAATCCTAATACCAGAGACAGCATTTTCCCAAGGTAGAGTATGTATGTATACCACTACACAAAACCACTAAAAGTCTCAATAAATTTCTGCCCTGAATCTGCAGAAGAGCTGGTACATAGAAGCTTTTCTTGCTCATTAGACAACCGTGTCAATATCCCTTATCTTTTCAACATTTTTTTGTACTTGATAGCAAAAATTTTCTTCACATTCAGCTAAATATTTCTATCTTGTGCCCATGCTGGGGCATACAGTCCTGTTACAACTGGTATATAGTCACAGCAATAATAATACTGCCTGAAAATTTATTATCTATAGATGAGTTTCTCGGTGAGTCATGATGTGCTTATAAGCAGTGAGGCCTTGAAAGGAGAGTGCAAAGGCCTTGCTAAGTGTTGGATGGCAAGAGTTAACACCAGGCAAGTTTTCTCAAGGTAAAAGATTGAGAATTGATTGTGATTATCAGCTGCAAGTGTTTACATTACAGCTGGGTAGCTGAAAGCAGCTTCTGGCCTCTAGAGATAGAGTTGAGAATAACTTCTGCAGCAGGAGTTACAGCCTGCTTTCACTCCTCTGCCCTTCAGAAACCAGCTTGTTCTCAGACCAGAAGACAATATGAGGAAAGATAAGTCGCATTTTCAGAAATTTAAGGAACTCCTGTTATAAGAAGCCATAGTAGTGGTCTACTGATACCTTGTCCAGACTGATTAATATGAAGCTGACTGAGACCAGCAATATAGTCTGTGCACACTGATCCTTATCTTTTACACCAAGAAGAGATTAGTAAAGAGACAGAAGAAAACAAGACTATCAAGATAAATGCATTTAGTGAGGCATAGTTTTTTAACAATTTAGAACAGGGAAAGCTCTAGATGCTCAAAGATTCTCTAGAACCAGTCTATTTTTATATGCATCTGTAGTTATTCTTTGGGGTTGCTCTTATAAACACAGCTACCTAGTGAGTGATTCTTTCTTTGATTTTAATCCACTGATTTTGGGGGATGACCGACAGCCAACAGCTCTGCTAACTGTGGCTGTTCAATGTTACCTTAGCAATGGGCATTGGGTAGTGTCTTATCTGTCAGCAGTGCTCTATTGCATTGACCAATGGCTCCAGCTTGTCAGTCTTGTTCAATACAAATGAAAGGTATTTGCTCTGCTAACACTGAGTGATCATCAGAAACAGAGATGAGATTCATTTCCCAGCTGAGGTCTGTAGCATTCTGGAAGTTAAATGACACATTAATCTGCACCTGGCAGCAATTATGGTGATGGGCTGAGGGATTCATTTACAAAGAAAATAAATACCTTCAGTAAGGAATTGCCTGCTCTCCTGATCCAATGAGATTCAGATTCTCATCACTGTTAGAAGATTTCTTGTTTACCTCTTCTAAGTACTCAGAATACATGTGAGAGAGATGCTCTCTAAACTACTACATGATAGAGACACCGTTGTCATCATGGCACTTATCTCACCTTCACTTGCTTTTAACTTCAAAGGTGGTCATGTGTTTTGATACAAAAAGTGTCTTGCTGCCTAAATTTTTGTCTGCCTACTAAAAACTGTTCTTCTATTAAGACTTCTGAGCTGCAAAGTGTGCAATTCATGTTTATATCAAGATCTGGTTTCAGAAATTAGGTTTGGGGTTAGGATTTATAGAATCATAGAACATACTGAGCTGGAAGGGACCCATCAGGACTATCCAGCTCCTGTCCATGGCCCTGCACAGGACCATTCCCAAAAGTAACACCATGTGCCTGAGATTATTGTCCAAACGCTTTTTAAACTGAAGATAGGCTTGGTGCTGTGACCACTTCCCTGGGGAGCCTGTTCCACTGTTCCACTGCTTAATCACCCTCTGGGTGAAAAACTTTTTCTTGATCTTAAACCCAACCCTCCCCTGACTCAGCTTTATGCCATTTTCTTGAGTTCTGTCACTGGTAACAAGAGTGAAGAGATCATTACCTGCCCCTCTGCTTCCCCTTGTGAGCATGTTGAAAACCACGATGAGGTCTCAGTCTCCTCTTCCCAAACCAAGTGACCTCAGCCGCAGTCATACAGCTTCCTCTCCAGGCCCTTAACCATCCTTGTGGCCTTCCTTTGGATGTTCTCTAATAGCTTAATATCTTTCCTTTATTGTGGTGCCCAAAACTGCACAGAATATTCAAGGTGAAGCCACACCACCGCAGAGCAGAGTGGGACAATCCCCTCCCTTGACCGGCTGGTGATGCTTTGCCTGATGCCCCCCAGGACACGGTTGGCCCTCCTGGCTGCCAGGGCACTGCTGACTCATATTCATCTTGCTGTTGGTATTTTCAGGATTGCATTTTTCACAAAGGAATATGGCTGCTTCCTTTAAAATGCAGCTGTAGAAAAGCCTTTTTTTTACTATCCTGATAGATATGAGACTGATCTAAAAAGGTAAGGCCTGAATCTTTAAACAAACCAGAAGTGTGCTCTGCCAGGGAAAGGCTGCAGGAGCCTTTGAAGGCTATCTCAGGCAAGAGTTGCCAGTTTCTGAGAACTGACATTCCTCTACTTGGAGCTGGAAGCCAAGTTAGCCTTCTTTCACTGCTTAGTGGTGGTTGAAGATGGTCTGACTCAGGCATTGCTTCATATCTACAGCAGCACCGTGAAGAACAGAGGCAAAGGTCTAAGGCATTCAGGGTCATAGGTGAATGTGAGGGTGAGTGACACAGGTTCTTCTTATAATGATAAAAAGGCTTCTGGGATAGGTATTTTCTGCAGGAGTAAGCCTTGCCATACACAATACTGATGGTCTGGGCTAGTCTGAAAACAACAAAGAAGCCATCTCAAACCTAAGAAAAACTGCCTTAAAGGTAGGTCAGATTTTCAAAGCTCATTCATCCAGGTTTGTGCTTCATATGGACAATGTTTCATATGCACTAACACCTCCTTATGTCTTGAGTTAGGAATCATTAAACAAATCTGTTATGTGTAGAAAAATGTACTGAAAAAAGAGGCAAATGAAAAAGATACACTTGCCAAAGAATTCCAATGCAAGCATCTGCCTTTTTTTTTTTTTTAAATATGGGGAAAAAAAGCTACTAAAACTTATCATATTCTAAATATTATGACAAGCCTGTATTTTCTTGTGAAGACTCTTCCCATTTGACTGACTAAGGAAGGGGCCCTGGAAGTCTTCTGTAAATAAAGAGCCAACCTCAGAAATACGGAGCTGATTTTAGAAAACTACGAGTTTCATTCATGATGATACACATATAATAAAATTGGTAGGAAGTGGTAAAACACTTAGGAAATTCAGAGCATGTTGGTTGTGTTGCCCATTTGCTGAGCTTAGTTGCCAGTTTATATTAATTAAATGACAAATGATGCCAGTTAAACCAAACTTCAACCTCACATTAATCAGTGATCTTGTCTAGTTTATTGATATTTTAAAGCAATGCAGAGGGAAAAAAGTTTATTTTAACTTTCAGTAATTTAATATAGTAATTTTACTACACAAATTTTTAAGCATTAATCTACATATTTTTTGAAATTACATATAATTGCTTCCATAAGTTATTTTATCAGTACAAAATAGTGCACAGATCATTTCTTACAGCAACATCACTTGAGATGGCATATGGAATCAAAGATGAAAAACCCCACTGTGCATGTTTCATAACATAAATTAAGCAAATTACTCAAACCAGTCATTTTTACAAAGCAAATCACCCACTAGACTGAACAGTGAATAATTTAACTGGAAATTGATACTGAACACGTATTATGGGAAGATTTATGTACAGAAGTATCACATCCCTATCAGTAGTGGAGAATACTATGAGATAACCTCTAAGAAATGGGGTCTTTTAGGCATCTTTCAAGAAACTTAGAAAAATAATTTATCAAATTCAGTCTTTTTATTCACTTGAATTGAAGATGTCTAAATTATCTCTCAAGAAAGTGCTAAAGAGTGTGCATTCAGATTAAAATATAGGCTGATTACAGTGAAGACCAGCAAATGCTAAATGAGCATGTAATAAACTTGTGTATTGTGTACATATATTGTTTTGTGCAAGCAACTGTTGATCCAGAAATGCCAATAAATATGGGCTACTGCAAGTAAACTCTTTCTTCTATACACTGAAATGTAAAGCTTACAAAGAAAAATACTGTTTTCTGAGTGCTGTGTTGAGAGTTATTTACTGATAAAAACTGGAGTACAGAGGGATGCATCACTAAGCATTATGCAAAACTTGGGAGCTGAAGATTTTCTTAAAACATTACCTAATGCAAAAGCAATCAGAAAACAGAAGTAGCATTGGAAAGCAGTGACCATCTTTCAGTGTGAGCACACAGAAAATCTGAACTGAGGAGCTGAAGAGTGTTGTGATACTTGTCAAACTGATTGACTCTTCAGTTCATGCAAAGATGCACACTTCAATCGATTTTATGTTAGAGTCATCCCTAGCTATGTAGCAGGATGCCCTAATATTGCATAAAGGCTCCTCTGTACAATACACAGAAGTAGCAATTCCATGTGTGGAGTTGCACTTCAGATACAACTATTCCATGAGTTCAATTGTCTAAATGTACTATTTTATAGTGGGTATAAACTGATAGCCTCTGAACTACTGCAGACTTAATTTTCTTAATATGCTATTGTATCCTTGAGAGGGTAGTTTTGGTCTCATTAATATATACAAAAACCTATTTAAGCATAGATCCATTAACAGCCTTTTTCTGATAACAATTTCTCTAAACAAGCTGAAAGAAAATGTTGTAATTAACTAAAATACAGTTAGTTCTACATCATGGCACTATAGATATTGGCCAGCTACATTTGTAATGGTGTATGATTTTTGGTTTTGTATTGTATTTTTTTACAGGATGAAAATATAATGCGATCCATGCAGCTCTTTGAAAATGTGATTTAATGAAGACATTAGGTCTACAACTAATGGACAAATATGAGCTATTCGGCAACATTATCTAAAAGATGGATTTCCCACTTTATCATAAATAAAGTTACTCAGCTTTACACTGAGACATGGATTATGCAAGTAAATTTTTTTATTATAAACTCTTCCCAACAAAAAATTCTTTCGAAATTATAAAATTTAGCTCTTCAACAGTGGCTACTTAGTTAAAAAGATTGTACTGAAAAACCATGTTTTTACTCCAAATTCAAACAAACTGACAGTATGCAGCTTTATTATCATTCCAAACCCTAGTTAAAACAGATAAAATCACAAGGAGATTAAAAATATACTCTTAGTTTTGCTACTCATTTTTACTGGATTAAACTCCAGGTATTCAAGTGTATTTCTCAAATCTTAGCTTCTAATTTATACAGAGGCATTACCATGTATTTTCTTTTCCCATTTCTATGGTGTAGTCCTCATTTTTGAATAACACTTAGAGCTAATGCTATAATCAGTGTGCAATGCACATCTTGCTGCAATTGCCTTCCACCTTTGACTTGCTTTTCTCTTCCAAAGAAAAAAACCCCAAAACTAACAAAATTGATAACCTAGACGAAGAACTGTTATAGAACAAAAACCCAAACTGCTTATAGGTACATTTATTCCATAAAAAATATGAGTAAGCTTCTATCAATCACACTTACCTAGTAAATCTATCACAACAGGAATACCAGGCATCCTACATACTGTATTTCTAATTCTTCTTGGATATGTCTGCAAAGTTCTTAGATTAAAATTAAGGATCTTCTAACTCCTAATTTGTCATGAAGAAAGCTTAACTGGATCCTAACACTGTCTTCATAAGTATGTGTCTTTTTGCCTTTAATAAATAAAAAGGCATGAAATTCCTTTGAAACTTCCATTCCACTTCAGTGCTGAGAATGAATATCCCTGTGTAGTAACATCTATTAATAATGACTGCTAGTCAGGCTAACATCTATTTCAGCTTTTTGTAATATCTGTAACTATGAGACAGAATCAGGAAAAAATGGAAACTTCAGCTATATATCATCTATATGTGATAAATGCTTTACATTTTTTTAGGATCATTTCTTCATTAAGATTGGAGCTATTTATTCTGAACCTAGAAAGATTTTTCTAAAAAAGTATGCACCTAATATTTAACAATGCCCCTCCATCCATGTAATTTTTAAGATATATTGTCCACAGAGTTTATGACAATATTTTAAAATAGGTGAAATGCTATCAAGATAGGCCAACCTTCATTGTGACATTGCTGCAGAAAATGTGAATTAATGAAGTAGAAAGAATGTTGCAAGCATTCTTTTGTAAAAATAAATCAGGTATCTATTCTGGTGTAGAGGTGGGATGTTAGAGGCATGTTGAAGGCTGCTCTGCTATCACCAGTGTAGGATAAGAGTAGTACAATACATGTACACCTGAAATCTGCTGTAGCGTGTTTGTGTAAACTAAATGTGCACATTTTGTAAAAAAAAAATAAAATAAAGTAAACATGAAGAAAAAAAAGGACCATGATCAATTTTTTTCAGTTGTTAAATACTTGTTGACAAAATTGTTAACTGAAGAAATACAATTAATAAAAAAAAAAGCCTTAATACATTTATCTTGACTTAGCACAGTTCTTATCTCAGCAGCAATCATACCACAGTCCTGAGGTAAATTTAATTTAGTCAAGCAGTAGTAAGTTTCAAAACAAAGCTGAAACTGCCTTCACATGACAGACTTTTTTAATACTCTACACATCAGTATCTTCTGATGACAAAAATACCCCTCTCTTCCAACATTACGGAATTATTTTGCAGTCAAGTTCAAATACAATCATGAGCAAATGCTGCAACCTACAAGGCTTGACAGAGAGGTAAGCTGGTGTCTAAAATGCTTTTGTTGTTTTTAACTCCTATTTTTTTATAGCTTCCATGTTCAGAAGTTTATTAACTTGTCTAGACTGGAATTCACAAGCTAGTCCCAGGCATATCTGTGACGTTCCTGAACTCAGTGCAAAGGGAGCATGGTGTAAATACTCCAAAGTTGCCTCCTACATCCAGCTCCCGTTCAGCAGGCCCAAAGCCAACTGGAACTAATTAGCTGAGCAAACCCTAGGCTGTGGATCTGGGGAGCAACCTGATACCTTTGCACTGTATTCTCCGAGCCTTCCCAGCATTTCAAAACAATGTGCTGAGAATGCACTGAGCAAGTTCAGCTTTGCACCATATGCTCCTTGTTTGCTGTTTTCAGCTTCACACCTTGAAAAGCTGACTCTGAAGAAGTCTATGAGTGCTCACAGTTCTATGTCTAACCTAGTCCTGATGAACCTAAATGCGTCCATCTGTGCCTGTCACAAAATAAGTCATATGTTTCAAAAGCAGGTATAAATATGTCATTTAACACCAAGTTACTTACTATTTAAGTAATTACTGCCAAATTATTTTGCATCAAATATACAAAACATATTAAGCACTGCAGATATATTAAATGAAATTGTAGTTTACAACAAAATAAGAATCAATATTTACTCTGCTTTTGAAATAACACCAGGTTAATCAATGTCATCATAAGCACAATGCATACGCAAATATAGAGAAGTCTTCTGTAATTACATATTCTCAAACTGATAAGACTCCCATTCTCCATCATAGTGAAGAATTGTGATTATTTTAAGAGAATATATCATACCCCAAATAAGTGTCAGTGATGTACACAGGCAGCTTCTTTCCAAACTTCACCTTACAGTACAAATCACTATAGATTTCTTGTTCAAGGGGAGATAGAACAATAGGTTGGAATTTTCGATTTGATGATAGCCACAGTTGGCTGTTAAAGAAAACAAAACCAAGTTAAACAAAATAAGGAGCACTAGCACTATGTATGACAGTATTCATACAGTCTCTACAAATTGCATAATTCACAATGTTTACTTAGTGATCTTTGCTATTATGAAACAGTAGAAAACTAAAAAGTTACTATTTGCTGAGAAATTTACTGTCAAAAAGGCTGAAAATAATAAACTGAGAAAATGGACGATTGTGATAACTTATGCTGGAGAGTAAAATTCCAAGAGAAGGGATATGTAAAACCATACCTAAAACTGGGCTTAAATACAGACATGAAACAATAAGGATTTTTAAACAGAGGAGTAATATTCTAGAAGGGACCTCTAATAAAAGTAAGAATCATACACTTTATAACTAATTTAGAATAGAAATTTGATTAATTAGTTGGATTATATAATATTGCTCATAATCACAATTTAGGAGTATTATTAAAAGACACACAGAAAGACCTACTCACAAAAGAACCAGACAACAAGAAATCAGGGGATTGACAGAAGAGTTAGAATTTAATGACTCACTGGATTAGTTACATCATCTAGACCTAAATTTTCAGAATATAGAGATGAGAAATCGTTTTTCTTTTCTTGTCTCACTTCATATAAATAAAAAACTCTCATCCTCCTTCATTTGTCGTAATGTTTTTCGAGTCTGTAACTGAACACTGCTACTGCCCTTAAATGAATATGAGCACACACACAAAAAAATGAAGTGATGTCAACTGATTATTTGGGTACCTACTGATTAAGGCACATAAGCTCAGAACTGGTGGACCTGTATTTATGGTCCCCACTCTTCAGGTTATTCCTATTCTTTATGAATGACCATTGAATATATTACATAGAAGTGTTCATAGTGTCAAAAAAGCAAATATTTTCTCTTTTAGATGAATATCTAAGCCAACACTCCTACTTTTTCTTCTTTCCTCATTTCTGTACAGTGTACAGCACAACATAAAATGGCAACAGAATGTTCATCAGAAGAAACCTCTGCCACCTATTACTTAAAGTGTATTTTTTGATTTATAGCAATTATAGATCTAAGCTCTCAGTTAACCAAGGTGAGTTGGAATGTGAGTGTCAGAATTCCTCAGTAAGTAACCCAAACAATAAGCTCTTAGTGGGAATGGGCAGGCATCATCAATAACAGCAAAAAGTAACTTCTAGCAAGAGTAAATCCTGTTGAGAAACATATTTAGTCTCAGAAAATGGAACACAAAGCATGCATCCCAGGTCTACTGAAGCAAGAACACAGCAAGAAAGACAGAGATAAAAGTTGTTTTGGCAAAATTGCATTCAAATGTCCAGATTACAGAATAATCATCTGATCAACTCACCTTTCCACCATATTGCTCCAACTTTTGTAAAGTAACTGTAACTCTTTCTCTAAATTTCTTGTCCATTAATCTCCTTGACAGCTATTAGAAAAGTAAAATAAAAAGGTTTGTTGCACAATATAGTACAATATATGGAAAAAACGGTATAGTAAGTTATTTTGTTACTTTATTTCATCTTTGGAAAATTAAGGATGAAAAGAAACATCATAACTTGTAACTAATGTTAAAGTTTGGAACTTAGTCAAGGCAGAGGAATATAAGGTTAACTTAAAAAAACCGAATCTATTAGCCAACAAAAATATGTATTTTATTTTTTTCTTTTAGCAAACAAATTTGAAAGAAGTACTAACCTTAAAAAAAAGTCATTCTTAAAGGGCTGTCTACATAAAAAGTTAACACATTTTTCACATGCATTGAAAGAGATTTATTACAGTGGAAATACTTTAAAAAAAACTGCTGCAATTTCTCTCTTCTGCACTGGATGTCAAAAAAGGTCCTTTTATTTTGCTGTAAAAGTGCACTTTGCAAGCAGGCTAAATGAAACCATGAAAAGCCCATCTGACAGAGAGGAAGGATGTCCTCAGAAGGACTCAGTATAACAATACTTCTCATAATTCTACTCTAAGCTTATTTAATGAAAACTTCTTTGAGCAGAATTCTCATCTGAAAGAAGTGGGAATATTTGCTTATGTTAATTTATCGAAACTGTCACAGTTTTGTTAAAATGTTCGCACACAAAATGGAAAACTCATTTGATAATAAACTTTCCTCCAAAACATAGCATCTATTTCTCCTTGGGCCTATACTTCCATTATTCTCCAGTTTACGTTAACAACAGTTTTTGGACATTACTAGAACTTTATAAGTCACCATATTATTAAAGAATGAAGGACTCACTCAGAGGAATATATGAAATAGTGCTTTTCATGGAACTGCTGAGTCCTCCACTGTATCTGTGCAGATATTACAGGAGACATCTCAACAAAAGTACCATGACAATACAAAGGATTTTTTACTACAGCATTAAAAACTTACATTTGTGAGTAGATGTTTAAGATGATCATTAAGAGATGGGCCAACAACAGCACTCAGCTGAACTAAAGCATCCAATCCCCTTCCAAATACTTCATCATCCGCATGGGCCTTCAGAGGGGGAAGAAAGAAAACCCTATCAGTTTTCTGAAAAAAACCCTGGTTTTGTGTTTAGAAAAACACAAAAGTTTTTCTAAACTGCAATCTCTGCAGTATGATTGCATGTAGTATTTTTAAACACTAGAATTACTGCGCAATTGCCAATTGCTATAATGTTACAAGTTTAGAAAGACAAGTACAACAGGACTGAATATTAGTCTCCAGAGGCCACATTTAAAAACAGAAGTATGTTTTTAAAGTAGAACCAAAAGTATCAACAAAATGTCAGCGAAACTCTTGCATTTCTTCTGAGACAAGGAAACTAATAATTTAGTATTGATAAAATAAAAAAAATTTGGCATGCAAAACAGTTTACTGCACCAACAATTTCAGTATTTCACAGCATGTTAGAAATAACCATTCAAATGCAGATATGCTGAAATGGGGAGACACCATTTTACTTACAAATGTAATTAATTCAGTGTAATTTCTATGTAATTCATAACAATAACTTCCTTTGTTGGAGAAACAGTGGAGCCAATGATTTTCTGCCTCAATTCATTTAGTTCTCTCTACACCTTTGTCACCTGCCAGCAATTATCTAGCTCTTACCTACTTCTAGGGTTCCTTGTCATCTTTATTTCTCCCATAGGAAGGTTCTTCTATCCCTAAGTTCTCTAATGGTTTAATTATTCACTTTTCCTTTAGTGGAGAAATAGACTCATAAGAATTTATTTTGTTCTTGTACTAAATTTTAAGTTTATTTAAACAATTATTTTTTCACTCCAGCATTTGAGATCTGAATGTTTTCTTTTTAACTAGAAGTGATAGATTGATTGTGTAGTAGAAGGTTTAAGAAGACTTTATACCAAAGCAGTGCAACAATAAAAATTATCAGATGAGTAACAGTAATTGAGGAATAGATAAGAATAATATTTCTAATTTTGTCTTCAAACTAAACCAAATATTCTGATAACACAGAATTCTGAACTTCTGTTACACCTCTGATTTGAGATCACAAAGAATTTTTAAGCTTTCAGCAATCTATAAAATCAAAACTGAAACACAGCTAGATTAAAGAACAGCTACTTGCTGAACCAGAAAAGGGCTCTGAAAAATATGAAAAAGAGCCAAAAAAGATAACCCTTGAAGCCAATATCTAACTTTGTTTTCTAAAGGAGTAGAAAAGTTAAAAACATTTTAAAAATTAAGAATATGACCACAAATATTTTAACTGTATTCTTCCCTTTTCCTCATTGACATATTCTACTTTTGTAGCATGTTTTGAATTGTTAGATGTAACAGATGATTATTTATTCCCACATCTCTATTTTACTTCACCTCATTTATATTTTTTGCACGTGAATATATAAAAACACCACAAATACATATATTTATTTCTGCTTATATACAGACCTTTAATAGAACATTTCCACAAAATTTGCCCATAGCTACTGTCATACAGCTATAACGAGTTGCCCATTTGAATTTACAGTGAAATACATATTTAGCTAATAAACCAAGGCAGGGTTTACAAGAGAAAGAGAAACCATTCCCAACCCCCAAACCAAAACCTATGCAGTAGATTTATCACATTAATATTTTCCATGTAGTTCTTACCAGCAAAAAAAAAAAAATAAAACCCATTAAAATCTCTTCATGAAGAGTAAGACATACCAGTGTAGCCTTTAAGACTGGAACCAGACGAGGTAACAAGGGAATTGCTTTTTCAGTAGCACCTTCAACCAGAAGTAATTCTCTAAAGCCCTCCTTTGAAACAAATGTATAGGGATGTTTTGTCTCTCTTAGTCCCTGTTGCAAATGTAAAATGTGTTTCTTAATAGTGTGCCTTCTTTTAAACAAAAACACATTTAAAAAGTTCCACATAGCAGCAAGATTATGCTTAGATTTTGTCAGATCAGTTCAAAACATAAAGTACACTAACTCCACCATGTGGAGCCACTCAGTACAACTCTCCTCACAGAATATTCTAATTCATTTTTCTTTTGGAGCACTGAATATTAAAACTCACATTATGAATACTGCCTATTGAATCAATATGTGTACTACGTTTAATCTAACTACCCAAGGTATTTTTTCAACAAAACCAGGAACAAGAGCAGGCTATGTTTTTGTACCCTAAAGGAAAAAAAAAAATAGAAGATGAACTATGGAAGGAAAGATGCCCCCCACCACATCCCCCTCTCTGTAACATCAAAAACTTGCTGATGGTACAAAGATGCCCTTCTAGTGCAGAAGGCCTGACTGGCAGAACTCAAAGATTTAAAGGGCAATGGCTGAAGCCTTTCTTCTTTCCACAGTAGGAGCTTTATGTTACTTTTGGAATTGACAGTTTTGTTTAATCTTTTAAAAATAAAGGAAAAAAAAAAAAGAGAATAAGCCACCTCTGGATATGCACTTTTTTCTATCTACAGCATTGGATTCATCATTTATTTAGACACCTGAAACATATTTGGTGATAAATGTCACAGAAGGTTCTGAGAAAATAGAAGCCTCAACATAATGCATAGTACAGCTCTTCAGTTTATTTACAGGATGCTATTTTCATTGTACTAGTTCAATCTATTGAGAAGAAGACTCTTACTTCAACAGGTAGGCTTAATATAAAAAAATAATCAAAGCAATTTAGTTTACAAAAGAACCTGCAAAACTACAAATGGATTGAAGATTTCATTCAGCAGTTGGAAATCTGAGATGCAGTCTTGCATTTGGCCCGTATGTTGAAGATTAAAGAGCTCTACCTAGCTCTCTCAGAATGCTCTAACTAAAGAACTACAAATAGCAATGCTCTTGGCCATTTTCATTCATACAAGATCTTCACAAATTTTTTTTTTGTATTTCCCTAGTATGTGAGCCTAAATTAGCTAGCATAGATTGTTAATAAATGACATTTGCAATTAGGAAATGGTTGTATGCTTAATGTTGCAAGAAATTGAGTTTACCTCTGCCAGTGTTATAAGGAGAGGATCAAAGGGAACAGTTTCAGGAAGGCATTCCCATTGCAGTTTGTGCTTTACTGATCCATGCACTAACCTATATAAAGAACAAAGTTTTAACAATTCATCATATAAGAATACACAATTTATTACTACCACTATTCACTTTAAATGTATCAGCAATTAGTTTGTGGTGTTACTGTATCCCAGTACATACAGTTCTCCTTAGCGAAATCACAGAATCCCAGAATCAATCAGGTTGGAAAAGACCTCTGAGATCATCAAGTCCAACCTAGTGTATGTATAATGATATTTAACAGTGAAAATATAATAATTTCCCAAAATACAGCAGTTTCCAAAATTCTGCTCCTAATCACACAGAAATCAGAAAATAAAGGTTACAAAAATTATAGATGCTTCTCATGCCAACACCAAAGATGCTCCTTTTGCAAAGTTACTTATTTTGATAAGTAGCAAGAAACATTTTCCTCAAATGGTAAGGGAAATCAGTTGAAACAGAAAGAAAATCATACTGGAATTTATTATTTACTCCTAAGATACAGATAAAGGCTATGTATTAATGATTATTTTATACAAGTAAACACATGTACGTTGTATTAATGATTACTTAAATTTTTGTAAAGTAATTCTGCATCCTAGTAAGAAAACACTAAAATGTTTATTGGCTATCCAAAAGTAATTTTAAACACCATAAACTATTACTTACAAGTATTTTTGTTAATATCTGATATTGCTGACAACTACAGAATCGGAATATTCAATAAAACGTTGTCATACTAAGTACTTCAGATGAAAAAGGCTCCAAGAGGTCTACTTACTAAAATGGCACTAATTTTACTATCTTTGCTAGTAGGGAGAAGTAAACAAGATTACCTGAAGAAATCAAGTCTGCAAAAACTTAACTATGCTTTAAAAATGTGGTTTTAGTATTAATAGAGCATAAAAAAAACCAACAACACAAATTAAGACAATTTCAAAGACATGGAAAATCACTTTCTGCTTTAAAAAGAGCTGAGCATTAGAAATCTTTCCAGAAATGAATGGAATCGAACAACCTAACTAAAATATCAAACATGAAGAGATGTATTTCATAATATATTTAGTAAAAATTTAAACAAACCCTACACACCTGCACGGAATGCCTCCTTTAGCATATGTAGCAGCAAATGCAGATGTTGGTCGAGAATAAGCACCAAACTGCAAGGACACAGAGAAGTAGCATTATTTATTCATAACAGTAAAGTTTTATAACTATTATAAATATGTTAAAACTGCAGTTTACCAAAAAAAGAACTTAGTCATATGATTCTAAGACAAATAAATAAAAAAAGAACTGCAGGTATGGGGTGGAAAACATATATTTGATACACTTATCAGAAAACTGCTCTTCAGAATCGTCTGGCTAGGGAGTTTTTAAAATGAATAAATAATGTAGAATCAGCGTTCTCCCAATGGAATTACCTTATTTTTCTATTTTCTCTTGCAAATGTTAATACTTAAGCCTTACAGGTTCTTTACTTAACAGATTAAGGAGCTCTCACTTTCCTTATGCTCTAGTATTTATATTGGTAACATGCAGAAGGCAGTTTTATGCAGTTCCATCTTGATCTGAGTATAGACAAAAGTACAAGGTGGCAAGATGTGGGAGAAATACCAAAAATTGGGCAAGATGGTATGAGGGCACTGGAAATGCATGGGGAGGTTCATACAGGGTGAGAATCTAGAAAGAACTCACTGGAGAAGGAAACTAGGAGCTTCAGAGGTAGAAAAGCTGTGCAAATTTGTTTTTTATCATATACATGGTTCCTATGCATATGAACTATTGTATTATTTATTAGCATGATCATTCAATGCTGCTTCCCATTTAAAACACCTTATCAGAAAGCATTTAAAAGCAAATATCATGAAATCTTAATTTTTATCTTTTGAGTGTTTGAATCTACATTAATATCATTAAAATTGTGTGCATGATTTGATGACCACATTAAAGTATTCTGCCTCTGTTTATTGCAAACTACTAGCTCACCAAACTACTCCTGCATTTAATTCACTTTCCAAAAAGCCTGTGACATTACTAATTGTCAAATTATGTGGACCACTGGTGAGCTATAATTCATGTATTCAATCCTAGTTCTTCAGGCACATGACTTCCATGAAATAAGCGACTCCATTCATTATTCTGCTCCCAAGACCCCAAATTTTTCCTAAAGTATTACATATTCACAGTAATTGTGAGTTTCATATAATGCTCACCAGCAATTAATTTGCTAGATTTCATGAAGTCTTGATGATCTTCAAGTTCCTGCCTGATTCTTAGTTTCATTGCATAACTGAAATAAGTTCCTCTAAAGCAGCAGGTATCAAAGTTTAGAAGTATATAAAAAAGAAAAAAACAACTCTCTTTATCTCTTAGCTCTAAATCTCTTTTTAGGGCAATAGTACACAGAAGATAACAGTTACCATGCAAGACACAATTGTACCAAAACACATTTATTAAAAATGTAATAAACAATGTTATGCCTCAGGCATTTGGCTTAGAAGGTAGGGAATGTATGATTAATAACAAAAGTCTAATTTAAATTTAAAAAACAGGACCAGAAGAAGCATGTCCTGCATGTCATTTCACAAAGTAAGGAAATTTTTTCCAACCAGAGATCGGTTTTAAACAAACAAACAAACCCCTCATCACCTATACATACCGGATCGATAGTTTTAGGATTCAGCTTGTCACTAGGCTTTGTCTGTGGTTTAGTTGCAGGTTCTGGAGAACATGGTAAAGGAGAGGATGTCTTGCTTTTCTGTGCTGCAGTCTTTGGTTTTATTTGGATGTGTGATGACATTCTTAGAACATTGCTTCCTAAAATAAAAAAATATAAAAACATAAAATAATTTTCATTCCTATATGACAGACTGTCAAGGGTTAGAATCCTCAGGCCATAAAACTGACATGAACAAACAATCAAGAAAATCTGAATAAGTGCACAAGGAAACAAAGGCTTATTCTTATACATCCTATGCAGTGCATGGGATAATTTTAACAGTTTTGTCACTCGATCTTTCAAATGCACCCATTTCCTAACCTGCTCCCCTTTTCTTGTGTTCTTTGAGACCTGCAGCTAAAGTGAATTAGCTACAGTCTGCCTTTAGGTAGCCTACAGGAATGCAAGCAGCATTACGGGGCTCAGCAGAAGAGCCCAGACTGAAATAGGCTGGTTGGGTACAGTTACATCAGAAGAAAGTAACAATCTGAGGAATAGCCAGGATGAAGGAATGAAAAGAAGCACAAGTACATTCAGGACACAAAAAACCCAATGCAGAATCAGTAAGAGATGAGAATAGAAATGTAAAGCAGCAAAGAAAGAACACAGAAAATGAATTCCAATTCCACGTAAGAAGAATGACTTTTATTTTTTTAAAAGAGTGCAAAAATAACCTTCTGTTTACATCCTTAAATACTGATTTAGATACACTTATCTTCTAAATGTCAATGCACCAGCTACATGCATCACTATATATGTATGTAATTGGGTTAAAGTGTCCCTAATAAAATTAATAGTCCTCTGCCTATTTAACATACCAAGTCTGACATTATGCTGAACAAGATAAATTATTCCCGGGAAATTACAAATTTTCAAATATTAATAAAACTAAAAGAGTGAAAATGCTGGTTTTGAATATTATTAATGTTCAGTAATTTATGCTATGGTGCATTCTGGATGGTAAAAAACAATCTAGTAAATAAGAAATTACATTCCTTTGTGAACAAGAAATGACACTATATAGAAATGAAAACTATAGGAGGCAAATTAAATAATACACAGAAACAAATATTGCCTCAAGGATGAGCAGAATGCTTGCCATTCAGCTATCACCTTTAGCAAGTTGATGACGCCTGTTTTTGTCAAAAATGTGATTAAATTCCAAATACTGAGATCAGGATGAACTAGAGGCAGATTGTTTTTGCCATGCTACTCACACACCCACAGCTCTATAAGCCACCTGTCCTAATCTCTGCCAGACTCTTGCACATACAGTCCTTGTTTAGCTTGGTTATTCTAATTCTTCCCTCCAAACAGGACTTCCAGTCACGTACTTTTGTCACAGAATCACAGAATATGCTGAGCTGGAAAGGACCCACAAGGATCACCGAATACAACCCTTAGCCCTGCACAGGACCATCCACAAGACTCAAACCATGTGCCTGAGACTATCATCTAAATGCTTCTTGAACTCTGTCAGGCTTGGTGCTGTGACCACTGCCCTGGGGAGCCTGTTCCAGTATCCAACCACCCTCCGGGTGAAGAAAGTTTTCTAATCTCCAACCTAAACCTCCCCTGACACAACTTCAGGCCATTCCCTCCGGTCCTGTCACTGGTCACCACAGAGAAGAGATCAGTGCCTGTCCCTCCTCTTCCCCTCACAAGAAAATTGTAACTGCAAAGAGGTCTCCCCTCAGTCTCATCTTTTTCAGGCTGAACAGACCAAGTGCCCTCAGCCCCTCCTCATAGAGCTTCCCCTCAAGGCCCTTCACCCCCTTTGTTGCCCTCCTTTGGATGCTCTCTAATAGCTTAATATCTTTACGATATTGTGGCACCCAAAACTGCACACAATATTCACGGTGAGGCCACATCAGTGCAGAGCAGAGCGGGACAATCCCCTCCCTTGACCAGCTGGTGATGCTTTGCCTGATGCCCCCCAGGACACAGTTGGCCCTCCTGGCTGCCAGGGCACTGCTGACTCATACTCAACCTGCTGTCGACCAGGACCCTTTCCACAGCTTTCCAGCATCTCATTCCCCAGTCATCTTCTAAATTATGAAATCTTTAGGATTGTTTCTGTTTCTGGTAAGAAATTATAAGGCCCCAGTACTTGTCTAGATATGCTATGTCTTTATGACTTGTGTAAAGAATTAAATCTAGCACCTAAGTTTTAGTGAATGTCAAGAAACAACATATAATAATGATTACCAAATTAGCTAAAATACAAAGCAAAACTAAAATTGAAAGTTTAAATCAATACTTCTTGATGGATGATTTAATCAGAAATCAGTTCACCCACTGTACATCCTGTCTTCTCTATCTTACTATTTCCAGAATGCAGCCTGTCTCCAGTGACAGTCTTTTTAAAAAAGAACAAGCACACCACAAATAGACAATTAAGTTTCTTCAAAACACACAAAAACTTACATGACACTTACATGAACTATTTGGTACAATGCAAGTCATTAAAACCAGAAATAATTTGAAGACCTAAAAGACAAACAGTAACACAGAAAGAAAATCTACTGATTTTATGCCAGCTTATTATCATTAAACTCTAATCACATTAGTTACAAGGCATGTTTTCAACTATTAGAAAAATAAGAATCAAAATATTTTTTTTTACTATAAAAACACCAGATAAGTTCTTGACAGTAGCATCATATATCACAAAATAGTGCTATCAGTGTCAGCCTTTGAAATATACAATTGCTCATAATATGAACAGTCAGCTTGCTAATAACAACATAAATATTTTTCTCAGAAAAGTATTAAAAAGTAATTCAGATGTATTTAATTTATTCTATTTCCCAGGAACTAATCAAGATACATGTCAAGGACTTTACTGAGGTTTTAACTAACAACTAAATCTAGAAAAGTCAGTGGTTGTACCATGACAAAAAGTAAACGATAAGAAGTGTGACAATAAGCAGGAACAATGTCAGCCCTTTGGGATAGAAATGAAGATAGTAGTAAGGACAGTGACAATGGTTTTGTAAAAATGCGGCTGAGGCAATATACTGGCAGAGGTGGAAGTGGCACTGAGCAGGAAAAGTACTCTTCATAAGGAGGTCTCAACCTTCAGAGATGAAAGCCCTTGTGTAGTCATGAGCTCGGAAAGTCACTCACACGTGTTTGCAGAGAGATCAGACGGCTGAAGTACAGTCGTGAATCAAACAAGCGACGTACGAGGTTTGATACAGAAGTGACCCATCTACTGGTAGATGACAGACTTCAAGCAAAGGACAGACACTTTAAACAGAAATAGGAAAACACCTCTAAAAGACTACTTTCAAAGGAGGAAAAGTGCAGCCTGGAGTTCGGTCCTAGAAGTCACTTAAGGCAGGCAGAACTAAAGTCAGTAGGATTTGAAAGGCGAGGTTGCTTCCTTACCCTGGTGAGCGCCAACTCTCCGGAGCGCAGCTGGGGCAGCGGCAGAAGGAGACGCGGGGCTTCGAGCGCCGTCACCGCCGAGAGGCTCCAGCGGCGACGCTCCGGTGAGTTCCCACAGAGCCGCCGGCCCGGCCCCCGCGGGACATCCGCAGACCCAGTGCGAGAACGAGGGGGACACCCTGCTCCCCTCGGCCCCTCTCCCGTTCCCACAACTCCCGCTGATCCCGGGGAGCGTCGGGCCGGGGGCAGCGCTGTCCCCGCTCCGACGGCCCCGCGGGACGGGCGGTTCAGCTCCCGGGGACGCTTCCTGCCGGTTGCCAGGGAAACTACGGGCCGCCGGGAGCCCAAACCTCCTCAGAGCTCGCTGAAGAGCGAAAGTCAGATTAAAAGGACGATGGGTTTTAATACTTTACCAGGGAAAAGAGAATTTAGGAATGACTTCTTTTTTTTTTTCTTTTTTTTTTTTTTTCCTCTTTTTTTTTTTTTTTTTATGTGAGAAAAGATTGGCTTTCAGGGATAGCGCCATGTTCCCATTTGTGATTGTCCTTGTTCCAAACACAATGAGAGAAAGTTAATTTTTAGTTTCTTTCTCAGATAACCCACTCATACAGTACTGACACTTCCGTTGGAAATACTGTATTTATTCGTACGCTGTCACATCTGAATGAACTTCAGGGTAAAACGAGCTTTTGGGTAAAAGGGTACTTTTTAACTTGACCAAAAGGGTAGTTTCTTGCTTTCTTTAAGACATATGTCTATTCTTTCATGCAGTCAACCATCAATCTCTGAGCAAAATGTTTTCTTGATTTGCTTGAATTTTGTGAGATACAATCTTTCTACCATTGCATTCTTTCTCATTTCTGTCATTTTTACTGAAGAACTGATTGGTACTTTAGAAGTGGATAAGAGAGGCTATTCTCTTGATTTTCCACTAAAATAAAATAAAGTAAAATAAAATAAACCAACTCCACCAAAACAAACAAACAAGCAAACAAAACCAACAGGAAAATGCAGAGACACTGTTGAAAAACATAGACTATTCAAAAAATGCTATAGGCATTAGATTTTGGCCAATGCAGGAATTTAATAATTAGTTTTATCTAACATAAATAGTTTGTATCTCCCAATAATGGGAAGCCATAAGTGAGGACATTTGCAGAGTTAGAACAGGGCTGCATAATTGAGTGCTGTTGAAATGAATTAGTGCAACAGACCTTTTGGAAATACAGAAGGAAAAAAAATAATATAAATAATGTTGGAGAAGGGAAGTTTTTTTTTCCTAAGTGTTTTTAGCTCAGCTCAAGAGACATTACATTACTTTCACAAAATTATTTTACTGTTCCACAGTGCTGAAGGTAATAGAGGAATGGATGTCTTTTTATCCATAAATTTTACAGACTAGTAAATAATCTCAGAAAAATCCAATATTTGTAAAGCAGACTATGCAAGTCTTTGAAAATCACACTAAAAATACAAACCAGCATGATCATCTCCATGATGAGAAAAAAAGAACTGCTTTTATGAGCAAGGTTTATTTTTAGTTCAACGTTTTAGTATCATTTTATACATATATCTGTTATAGCCGATTTGTGAGTACAGAACAGACTACAGCTAAGTTCGAGTGTGGAAGAACGTAGTAGTACAATGCCTAAGTCAGTAGGAGGTATGAACTGCTGTGTTGTATGAAGCAAAATACCACTGATCAGCTCCATGGAGTCAGCAGCTCCCACTGAGTTCCCGGAGGCATAGAAACGACAGGGTTGTAAAAGGACAAGTAAGACTGCAGTCTCTGTGCAAGAGCAGGGCTTAGTTTAGAGTTCAATCATTTTCCTGAAAAATACAAAATAAAAGATTATTGTGTACTGCAGTGTGTATGGTACCATAGGGAGTCCTGCTGGACTTAGGGCTCTGAATGCACAGACTGCACTGCTCACCTTGCAGGAAGACTTGGTGTGTGAAATCAGGGTATGAGATACCTGCTGATCTGTAGATGCCTGATAGACATGGGGCCCTTCATTTCATGCCTTGGGGCATTTCGTCTCTTGAACTTAGAAAAATCACTACATCTGGCTCGTTGCCTTCATGCAATTGCCTTCATGGAAGGCTATCTCAACCATGAGGTTTTAACTCGGGGTAGGCTGGCTTTGGTGCTGAACCAGCACATCCCTCCCCATATTAGGCACTCAGCACAAGGCATCCCTGCGTGCCTGCAGAGATACACCCTGACCCTGTGCCCATGTCAGCAAGGCTCAAGCACCCGAGTACTGGGAACCTGATGGGTTTGAGTGGGCTTAATCCTCTTGGGTGGGAGTCTAACTCTCTCACATCCGTGGGAAGAATACAGACCAAAATGATCCTAAATTTCTAAAATAGGTTAGGATGAAACGTTATCCTTATAGATATGTTTTTCTAACTTGCATGATATTTTTAGAGTTAGGAAAAGAGAAGTCCGAAGGCTAAACATGCATTCAGTCCATTCAGTTCTGATTCCTACAGTATGATCTTAAAATGGTTCACTGTTTTTGATAGTTGTAATAGGAACTACTCTGTAGCATTTAAACATATTTGGTGGATGGACAATTTAGGAGGAAAAATACTTTATGATCTACACAGTATAGATCAACAAAACATGAAAAATTTTACAATTTTCTTCATTGTGATGATACCACTTTGTAGTTTTAAATATGGAGTTATGAGCTACCATTTATAACTGTATTCTTGTGCAGCTCCAGTTATTATGAGTTTCTCCATTATGCATTTTTGTTTAACAAACTGCCATAAACCTTTCTAAATGCTTGAAAATAATTAAAGACAAAAATTTCCAAAGAGTATTTATCATGAAAAGAAATGCAGGCACTTATATGTATGTGTGTTCAGTTGAGCATATAGAAATCTGAAAATGAAAGTTAACTCAGCACTGATTATTTACTTTTCCATAATTATACTCAAGCAATTTCAATAGAACCAGTGATTAATTAATTATCTGTTACTGCTGATAAAACCAATATGCAATTTGACTTCTTTTTTTCATTAGTCACAGTTAAATAGTTAATTACTGAGGGGGAGGAGAATTCACTAAAGCCAAATGAATTCTGAGGCTTATGAAATTAAAACTGAGGCTTATTGGAATATGGCTAATTGAAAGAACATCACATAAACCAGTTACATGTTAGATCTTTTTGTCTGAGCATATTTATACCTGTATTAAGCTAATTCATTTGCTATGGTTTGGGCTTGGCACATGGCCACAGGCAGTTGAAAAATGGTGGGGGGGAATATTTCTTGACAAGTGTAGGCTTTTGTATGTGGAAGGAAGGGAGTCGATACTTTAATTTTTGCATCATTTAATTAATTTATATTGTCAACATTTCCCTTTGAATTTGTAGTAGCATTTTTGTTAGACAATAAGTGTTTTATACTGATTTGTTTGCTGTATTTTTCTAAATACAAGAAAGAGACTACCAACAAACTTAAAAATTCATTCATCTTACATTTTACTATATTCTTAAATATTTATCTAATAATACACAAACTGATATGTTTTCATTTGAGATTATTTTAGAAGTTTCTAAATCAAGTGCAATTTTAACCACAGCTGGGGGCTGACAACTCTTGCAACCTAACAAGAACAGTAAAAGAACAAAACATGTTTCTTCAACATATATGATAATTCTCTTTATTTCTCCAGTAACTCTGAAAAGTTAGAAATTCCCACTGGTCTCTCAAAAAGTACACATTTAAAACTGAAGTCTAGGAGTGTTTTCCTTAGATAGTCTTCAAACATCATTCCCCAGAGCTTTTATCTTGACTTAACCACTCTATGTGCTTTATAAATACTACTCTATAAAAAGGAGTTATTTTACAGGGTTTGGCAATAAATGTGAGCTACAGAACAGACTGTAGACACCTAATTGTAGTTTTCAGCTTCCTTTGCAAAGATTTAAATGCTCCAGGCACTTTCATTGACGAGCGCTGCACAGACGATTAGTTCGGTGCCTGTCAGAAGTTGATGGACCTGTGAATATGGCCTTTTATCTTCAGTGAAAATTGGTGTGAAACGGCATCACTTCAGTTGAACAATTCTGGATAACAGCCCATGGATTGTACAGGATTGCTTATTCTTTTTCTGTAATACACCAGAAATTACTTGATTGCCTATTATTAAGTGCTAAATTGCTGTAGGGACTTTGGATTAGCAAATCAAGACTTAGAGGCAAGGTCCCAAGAAACTGACTGATCCATGGGAACTTTTAGGTTTTGATGTTGCAGAGTAACAAAAATTCATACAGGTATGACCCCCCAAATTTACAAATTAAGGAGACTCCTAATGGGGATCACGGAGTACATGGGACATGGATTACTGTCTGTGTGCAGACGTGGTGCTTTGGGTATGATTCTTGAATGAAGGTACAAGGCTGATAAAAATCAAGTAGTTGCATGGGCAACTGCAGTTAAATTCCACACCAGGCTTTTTGACTACTCTAAAGGATAACCTGCTGATCTGCAACAATTAGGAAATTCAGGTTTTTCCATGTACATGAGTACCTGAATGAGTCAGAGAAATTTATGCCCACACTGATACAAAGATGGTAGCTCATCATTGCTCCGCATTTCTTTACTTAATGAAGTGTTTCAAGAACCCCTGCAATGGCTCAGTTATACTTGTATTCATCTTGTACCTACCCTCAATGAACTGTACTACCTCAAAAAATGGAATTAAGATTAAAATGAGACATGTCAGGATTTGGGTTTCTTCCCTATTCTAACTTCTCATATTGCCATCAATAATGGCAGTTTGAATTTGCTGTTTCTTTTGATGATGCCAGTTGTTCAGGAAGGACAATTCATTCTATTGCATCACTCGGTGGTCCAATCACAACTACTTCTGTAAAAGTAGTTTGCTTATTTATGCAGAGAGATCCATTCCCACAAGCAAAGCATAGTCATAAGAGTTAGGAACCTCTATTTCTTTGCCTCATTGGACCTAAATCTGAGTTTTATAATGCTTGATTTCCTGCCTCTCTGCTATTCACTGGAATCTTCATTCCTAATTTATCTCATAGTTAAACACCAAAGAAGAAGACTCACAGAAAGGAGCAACGGCAGTGGCCACTGCTAGCTCATGGAAAATGTTAAGCAGAAAGCTTTGGTTTCAGGGAGAATTAGGTGACAAACACTTGCAGAAAGAAAAGGGGAAATTGGATAGATATCTGTGAATTCTTCTCTGGAACTCATAATGCTCAAAGTTTTCAAAGCTAACAAAAGGTTTTGGAAGCAGTGCTAGAAAGCTCTCTGGATTATAGAAAACTCA